GCTTGCTCTCTGTCGTATCAGTGTGCCTGGGACGTCTGAGTGTGATGGAAGATGTGGGCTGTGGTCCTAGAAAGTACTGTCAGTCAGCATCATCTTCTTCCCTAGAGATGCTTAAGACCATGACTTCTTAGTCAAAGCTGATTTAAGTACGATCCTGCTTAGGAACAGAAGCTCAGAGTGGCTGGTTCCTGAGTGCCCTCCTGGCCTAATCATTCTGGCTTTTCCAAGATACACGTGGCTTTAGGGAGTTGGGACCAAGAACTGTCTTGGCCCATCTCTGTGATCTGCAGTAAGATCTTTACGTCTTTCAGTTAGCCAATTCCTTACCGCAAATCCACTGCCTGAGAACTACAGAGGATGTATTACGGTCTTATTTTGAGTTCTCCATCTGTCAAATCTTGTTTCTGGTATAGGGCAATGATAAATAAAAGAATACATATATAATATATAAATGATCATTATGATGTATATATAATATGTATTAAGAGAGAAAATTCCAGGATAATTTTCTGTGTCAAAAACCAGGACATGGGCTTCCCTGGTGGTGCAGTGGTTGAGAGTCCGCCTGCCGATGCAGGGGACACGGGTTCGTGCCCCGGTCCGGGAAGATCCCACGTGCCGCGGAGCGGCTGGGCCCGTGAGCCATGGCCGCTGAGCCTGCGCGTCCGGAGCCTGTGCTCTGCAGCTGGAGAGGCCACAATAATGAGAGGTCCGCGTACCACAAAAAAAAAAAAAAAAAAGACCAGGATAGATCGATGTGTTCAGTCAATACCAAACCACAGAGATGGGGTCTTTTTACAGTCCAGTCAGAGAGGTGTAAATAAGATCATGATAAAAACTAAACATTAACTAAATTCTGAATGTAAGCCATCTACCAGAAGTCACATCTTAAAAAATACAAAATGATGAACTTAGAGCAGGGTTCTCAAGGCGGTGGTCTCAGAACCAGCATCATCTGGGAACTTGTTAGAAATACACATTATCAACTCCCCTGGCCAACCCCCCAAAACCTGCTAATCAGGGAGCCGCCCTGGGTGGGCTCCAAAAATCTGTTTTAAAAAGTCCTGAGGGTGACTCCGATGCATGCTAAAGTTTGAGAACCACTGGCTCAGAACTCAAGGCCGCTTGCCTGGACTTTATATTGTAAGGTTAGAGGGAGCTGAAGGAAACAGGAGGGGTTTGTGATCTGTGAGGCGCAATTTAAAGAGGAACAAAGAGAGTTCTGCCTACCCCCCCAACTGGCCCAAGAAATGGCTCGATTTCTTGAAATTAGAGCAACTTCTTTCAGTTAAGACACTGTCACTAAAAAGCCACCATGCCCATTAATACGCCAACACTTACTTATCTTATTCCTCAGCTGTCACTTGACGGAGCCTGGATATGAAGGAAAGCACGATGGGACACACCATATGTCAGGTCAGGTTCAAAGTGCAGCAAGGGGAGGAGAAGTCCCAAGCCCTCACCCAAAGGGATGAAAGACAGCCCAGGTGGAGCCCTACAGTGAGGGGACTCTGGAGAGGCAACGATGCTTTCAGCACAGAGACAGGGATGCTCTAAGAAACACTTTGTCATCATTACCGTCTTGAGCAGCATGTAACCATCAATTAGTTGAGGAGACGGGTCTCCCCTGGCTTCTCAGGACAGAGCAGTATCTACACTGGGAAGGTAGTTTTTTGCCAGTGATTAGTAGTCTACACTCATTTTATACATATATGTGACTCACATCCCAACTAAATGTGGAATACATACATATATGTGACTCACATCCCAACTAAATGTGGAATAATACCAATTTGGGACTCTTTTCCATACCCCGTCGTTAGAGCGCCAGTAGTTTCCAAAGATGAAATCTACAAATTCAGACCCTGACAATTGCAAGCACCAGTGGGCAGAACTTAAGACAGCCTTAATATGTCTTTACGGCGTTCTTACATGCTTCACTTACAGAGCATGTAAATAAGGTATTTTACTAACACGTACGTCAAAAGTTTGGTATGAAGTTTCAAAAATTCTGTTAAAGTACTTAATGACTACAACAGTATTTGAAAGCACATGATTTTGTGTTCCACAAACAAAAACAACATTACAACCTCTATTTTCTCATAACACCATTATCACAATCTCTGCATGGTAACATTTTTATTACACGTGATACTACTCAAAGGCTTTCTACATGCCTTTTAAAAATTCAATTGAGGGTAAAACTCAATCCAGGCTGGTTTTTAAAAATTATGACCAAGACATGACTTCAAATATAAGATGGAGACGGTGGCAATTAAAGTTTATGCAAGTTACCACAAGAAAGGCAGAAGTCATTGATTCCTTGAAGTATTTCTTTTATAGGTAGTAAATGTCCATGGACAACAGTCCCATTCTGTGTTGTTCCACCCGTTTACAGGTGACATTTTGACCTCTAACCAACCACAGCAAGACAATTCAAAATGAAGGTTGACACTTTGTCCTTTAACTAGTTCCAAAGTACTGCAGGGGTTTTACTGCCTGATGTTACACCATATGTGCAAACTCCAGACACAGCAGGCATGTTTAAGTAGGATGCCTCTGTACTTTGCCATTATCCTGTTTCCTGTTGTTCTGGAGCAATCCTAACTTTAGCTAAACATAACCTTTCTGGGTGAATCATTTTTAGTAGAAGAATCCGCCTTATAGCAGGGTGCCCTGCACTCTGACTGTATTTCGGAAGCATGGCCATTGACGGAATTCATAGAACCCAGTGGTTTGGTATTTTGCAGTCTTTATGAAACCCACCCATTTTATGAAAACTTTCATAAAATAAAATTATTTACCACTTTTTCTTATGAATAAAAACTCAATCATGAAATGAACAACAGGAGTAATTCTTTCTGAAGCATTTTTTTGGTCAACTGGTCTATCACTAAATGGTAATGTTTAATGGCAGATTTTTCAAAACCTTTTCCGTAATTCAAGTTATTTTTTAATTCTAAAATGACTACTATCTTGGGTAATGGGATGTATTTACTTACTCGGGCCCTCAAAAGGTTCGAATCAGAAAAGCCCTCTTAGGTTTTACATTCAGAATTATTTTCTGCCAGGATTTGAGAAATGCTAATAATAACCTATATCTTCAGCTCAATGTCGGTAACTCTTACCAAACCAGAGTTCATGAAAAGCATATACTAAGGAAAAAACAGTCCTTTAAAAAGTATACATAACTTCCCCAATGGCCTTTCCCCTTGAGTTTTATGTAAAGTAGAACATTTAGCTCTTTATAATTCCCTCAAATCTATAAATCTCACCAGTCTCAGATTTACTTCCTGTTGCCTTCCTTCATTATACGTTTAAAGGTAATCAATAAAAACTGATTTCTCTTTGTAAGCACTTTCCTGTTCTGCCAGAAATAACAGTAGTCCCTGCCCTAAAACGAAGAAGAAAAGGAAAAGGAATATTTACCAGAAGAGGAGAAAAAGAAACCGCCCCAGTATTTTTCCTGAGCCAAGTGAAACACAAACAGCAAATCAAGTTTATTCTTAAAGAAAAAAAACCTTAAACATATTCCTGGCATTAGTCCTATTCTTCAAATCTGTGGTATCAACAAGTTTTTAACTCTGGGTTTGTATTTCCACTCTCTACAAAAACCTCATTATACTGCCTAATAGCTTTACTGTACTGTCTTTCTGTAGGAATCCACACATCACACGCAAGACTTGTGCTCAATGCTGAACAGTGAAGCAGTAGAGGAAGGATAGTAAGTCCCACAGCTTGCCTCCTAGGGCAGAGTGGGATGCAAGACCAGTGGGAAAAAACAGATGAGAACAAAGTTACATCTGGTAAGGAAATCAAGAACTGCAAACAACATATCTCTGACTCAGAAACGCAAAACTTTCAGCCACTTGAATTTTTAGCACAAGAATTTTCTGACCCAAAATGTTACTTGAAGGTTTTATATTAAATCATCTGAAATCATCTGTTGGGGTTTCTCCAATATAGACTCTACTCCAGAACTCTCCATTTTTAATGTTTTTTCTTCTCCTGCATTTTTCAGCGAAGACCATGAGAAAACACCCAATGAAAGAGCAACAGACTTTTACTTTGTAATGAAGTTACGAATACATTTTATACGTTTTCCTGGCTTCCTGTTTTCTTGAACTCTGTACTATCTACAGAGGTTGTCCTGTTTCACCAAGGCAGACTATAAATCACACGAGTTCAGCCCGTCAGGTTGAAAAATGGAGGTGAAAGGCACAGCAGAAAATACATGAAGTATAATTAAAACCATATGACCAGAGATATTGAAGCAATACTTGTTGGAGGCAACCCAAGTAAAAATCAAATCTTTTCTAGTGTTAGTGAGACTGGCCAGTCCCTTTGAAACAAACACACATCACTTGCTAAATACTCTTTTTTTTTTTTTTTCTCCTTCACAGCAAAAGCACTGGGAGAAGTTCAGCCCTAACAAGGTACTGAAGCCTATCTTTGTGGCACAGTTAAATTCATAGTTGTTCATGTAAAACTGATCTCTCATTTAAAACAGTAATCATTTATTTAGAAATATAGTTTAAGATGGGGCAGGGCTCAATTTTACATCCACCAAAAAGGATAAAAGGCTTATGATGACAATGTTGAATCAAAAACCTTTTCTACTTTTCTATGAAGTGTTCATCTCCTAAGGCCTGAGGATTCCAGAAAGACACAGATACTGTAATTGCTTGTTGTTGATCATAAAGAGCCAGCAGCTATAAAATCCAAACCGTCTCCTGGACTACATTATAAACAACCTAGACACTACTGCCTCACAGACGTGGTACTGAGCAGGCCAATGATGTACATGTTTAAGGATGTACAGAAATTAAGAGCTCCTGAAGTTGTAAAGCATCTTTGACTTTGGCAATCTGTCCCCAGAGCCTATGTCCCCTGAGCGTTCCAAGGGTCAATTACCATAATCTCAATAGATAACTGGAACACAACTTGCAATATTGCTTTGGGGTTCCAGTAAACAATGTAAATTTAGCGAAGTCACTTACCCCCCAGAAACTGAATTCCTCCAGCCACTCTTCCCACTGTCCGGGAGATGAGCTCCGACACACAGCAGCCCATGAGGGCGGTGAGCGCCACAAGCAGGAGCAGGCCACAGCCCAGGCCTGTCACGATGGTAGAAATCCTCCATTCTGCGCTGGGGATGCCCTGGAAGGAGGCGTAGCGCCCACATTCCTCCACCATCACCATCGTCTGCCGACTCTCATCGTGCACGGGATACGAGCACCTCCGGAAAGTACCGAAGGACACAGGCTTGCCCAGCTGAGATCCCCAGAGCCAGTAAGGCATGAAGAACCCCACGCAGGAGGTGGCAGCACAAAGAAACGAGAGCAAAGCCCAGATGACCCCGGTGCAAGTCAGACTGGATGCCATCTTTCACCAGATGGGGCAAAGAGGACCCAAAGTAAGTGTTCTGGGTCTGCAGGAGGGAGTGAAGGTGTGAAACCACCGGGGACCCACAGGTAATCCACAGTTCTGTGATGGGAGAGTGTCTATTAACAGAACGGATCTTCAGTCTTACTGGGCATCAACTTCCCATCCTGTGCAGTAAGGAAGATGGTCCCTGGTAAAACCATAAGAAATATTAAAAGTTAAATGTTTTTAGAAACGCGATTAACACCGATTCAGTTGGTCTACAACTTTCAATTAATAAACAGTCAAAGATGCCTCCATACTTCAAAAGTGAGAAGAATCCCTTCTCTCTATAAACTTCTCCATAATTCAAATGTTGTCAGACTGGCTCAAACCTTTTTCATGTCTTTATCTCCTATAAATGTCCCCAAATTAACTCATGCACTTAAAGAAATGCATGACTTCTACTTGCCAAGCCAGTGAATTCATTTCATATACTCACATTAAAAGTAATGTAGCATATTTACCGGCAGTAAACATAATTCCGAATGTTATAATAAGAGGAACCATACCGTGGTTTGTTCATTTGGCTTGCAAGTTCATGCTCATAACTTGTCGCAACTTCTCTATGTCCCTTTGGGTGCATTAACACTCTGCACGAGCCCGAACAAAATAATTAGGGTCACAATTACACACTGCCCAGGCATACACAATGGATGGGACTATTAGGCATCCCCAGTCCTCATTCAGTAGCGTTTGTGAATGCCTTCAGTCTCAACTATCTTCTAGCGTCAACGAAAGAAAGCCTGCAAAAGGCTTATTTTCATACCTGCAGTTTTGATTCACGGCCTCCAATTAAATTATTGGAACCATCTCTACCGCTGAACGAGTGTCACTGTCTAATCTGAAAAAGAATCCATACCTGCCAGGACTCTACATCGAACCCCAGTCATTCTAGTGATTCCACGTGCATTCACTTCCATACCTCCTTCCCTCTCAGAAAGAGTTCCAGAACCACTTCCCACACTTTTCAGAGAGAATGCAGAAGCCCAGAGCCACGCGCCCCAGTTCCATCCCCAGGGCTCTTTTTACTCCAGCTTAACGTCACGCACCCCCTCCCTTCCCAACCCTCGCCCCTGCCCTTTCCTTCCCACCCACCACCCCATTTCCACCCCAGTGTGTCACTCCAGGGGAGTTCCGGCTACTTGTTTTTTTGTTTTTTTTTAATCTTGTCAACTGAGGTCAGCATCAGCATTAGCGGCTGAAGTTGGTCTGCTGGGCCCTGAGGCTGGGGAAGACGGGTGGCACGGGGACGTGGGGTGGAGACCGCCCTCACCTCGCGCTGGGGCAAGGCGCCCCGGGGTTAGCCAGCCCCCGGCAAAGGCCTCCCCCACTCCACCCCGAAGACACACAAGGATCCCTCAACCCCCAAAGCGGCAGAGGGGCGTTTTCCAGCCGGCCCCGCGCGGAGGGAGCGGATGAGGATGGGCAGGCAGCACCCCCCGGAGGCAGACGCCAGCAGCGGACGCGGCGGGCAGGGAGAGCCGGCCGGCAGCCCAGCTCAGGAAGTCCGGAGCCCGGGAGCAGCCCAACTCCGGCGTCCGGAGAAAAAAGGAGCGGAGCCCGCGCCCCGGGGCAGCCGCGCGCGGGACTCACATGGCTGGCGGGCGGCGGCCACCTTCTCTCCCGGCGCCGGGGCGCACTCACAACTTGCTGTCTCTCCCGGGCGGAGCATCCACGGCACGCAAGACCGTCCTTCCCTCTTCGCCGCGGTCCCTAACAGCCGCGGAGCCCCCGGGCCCGACGCGGGAGGGAAAGCAGGGGCCGGCAGCAGGCGGAGGGCTCCGGGAGGACGCGCGGCGCCGCCGCCCGTGCAGCCCCGCTTCCCGCGGCTCTCTGGCGGCGGCTCGGGCGGAGCGCTGTGGCCGCGCGCGGGGCGCTGTAGCTCGCGGGCGGAGGGGCGGATCTGCCTTTGGCAGGCGAGGCACGCAGCGCCTCCTCCCCTCCGCCGCCCGGCCCTCCTCTCTCTCCTGTCCCCTCCCCTCGCGCCCGCCGGGACCCGGAGCGGACGCGGCGAGGGCGCGGCGCGCCAAGGCGGGGACCCTCCCGGCACGCGGGGCGGGGCGGGGGGCGCGGCCGCCGAGCGCCGGGGTCTCCTCCCACCCCCTGGGCGGCTGTCTGGGCTCCTCCAGCTGCGAGCCCTCTCCCGCCTTCCTGGCCCCGCGACTCCTTCCAACGCGAGAGTGGCGGAGGCAGAGTCCGAGAAGTAGGGGCGAAAGTTGCTTCTCCTCTCGGGTGCTCGCCAGGGGCTTGGAAGATGAAACACGCTCCCTGTTCGCTTTTCGGGGGTCTGGTATTTGGGGTTTAAGCTCCGGTCTCCGACCGCCTTTAGGAGACGGAGATGGAAAGGAACGCCTCAGAGACTGGGCGCGGTGACCTTTTGAGCTTTCAGGAGCTCTTGGCACGTGGTCACTTTGTGAGGGGGTGAACAGGGCCAGTGTGGGCGTGGGAATGAGAGGCGAGAGCGGAGAACCCGAGGCTCAGGGATTCCGTCAGGCAGCCGCCTTTCCAGCCAAGCCAGGGAGAAAGCAGGGGGAGATGACAGCGAGCCTCCCCCAAGAAACATCCTCTTCAGGAACCTCTCTCAAAGCATTTCTCCCTGCCTGTCCCCCTCTCTCCTCCTCTTTCTCTGTCTCTGCCTCTCTCGCTCTCCCCCTCTCCTCTCTCTTCCCCTCCCCCCTTTCTCTTCCATCCCTCCGTCCAATCAATTTTGCAATCACTACCGCCATTGAATTTCTTTACTGAGAAACACGGATTCTGATTTCCCCTCTGGACTTAAGGTTTTGTGTTTTTTTTTTTTTTCTTGTCATTAGCGCTAACCTCTCTGGAAATTTAGAGCTACATTCAGTAGACTGTGGGTCTCTGCTGAAGACGGTATTTTAAGAATCCTGCCATCTGGGAATAGCAGTTTGTGAAGTAGCTACTTCCTCAGTACAGTTTGTGCTTTTTCAAAGCAGTTGAAAGTTAATAACTGGGTAGGTATATATTTCATAGTAAATTTTCAAATTGTACCCTTTTAATTAGCCATGGTAGAGTACTTTTTTTTTATTATAGCTGGAGCTGTGCGTTCTTTCATTATTATTTTGAAAGGCTTTGTGTAATTAGTTCCAACCCTTTATGAGGTCATAGACCTTTTTAAGAATATGGTGAAACGGTTAAGCCTCCCAGAAAAAGAAAAAAATGCACAGTAGTATCAAGTTTTCTCACAGTGTTTCTCAAGGGAGAGTATGACCCCTCCCAGGGGATATTAGGCAAGGTCTGGAGATATTTTTGATTATCATGAACTAGCATCTGGTGGGCAGAGGTCAGGGATGCTGCTAAACACCCTACAAGGCACAGGACAGACCCCCGGAATTATCCAGCCCCAAATATCAGTAGTTCTGAGGTTGAGAAAACCTGTTTCAATAAAATGTCAGATGGTTCCCTGTTCCCCTGCATCCCTTCCGTGATCAGAATCCCTGATCAAATGCTCTGATTTAAGTTATTTTTATTTGTCTTGTACAAGTCACTGGTTAATGAGTTCAGTGACTGTGTAATAATGATTGGCCTGACTTTCTGTTATGTATCATGACCTAGTTATTACACAGAGCCTTCAGATCTGTATCATGTATAGGTAGAAGGTATGACTCCATAAAGACAAAATAACGAGAGTGAGATTTGGACTCACCCTCCACACACCCACTGTGGATATTGGTCTAGGATACTTTCTCAATTTGGAGTTTGAAGCACCGAGATGGCTGGCTGAGATTTAAGTCCTGGCTGTGTCTCAGTCCCTACACTAAGTCTTCTTAATAGACTATTTTATCTAGTCCTCAAAATAAAAGCGGAAAAATATGAAGGAGTTACAATTATTACTTTACAGAGAGGTTAAGTAATTTGCCTGAGACCTTACAGCTAAAAGATGGACTTCAAAAAAAATCTCATTATCTGCATTCTATTAAACAGAGTAAATGCTATTGAAGAGATTCTGCCCAAGATGAAGATGAAGAGAGAGGAGGAGGCTGGTTGTTTTCTTTTTTAATCTATCGGGAAGCAGTATCAATTACTCATGAAAGCATAGTGTATTACATACTAGGACTCAAATTTCTGACTTAGAGGAGTGAATTTGGACAAGCGGTGCCCTTTCTGGGCCTAAGTTCTCTCATTTGTAAAAAGAGGTTGGAAATAGATGATTCTACCTCACGATCTCTTGCATCATGATTATATAGATACTGTTATATTTGAGAAGAAGTTTAGGGTCATCTAATTTTGTTCAAGTATATAATTTTACAGATGAGGAAGCAGAGGCTCAAAATCCTTCCAGTGTCTTACCCAGAGCTGAGCCTCAAATCCATGTATCCTGATCTCTCATTTCATTCCACCATGTAATTATCTTCCCAAACTACCGAGTCATCTGTGTTACTCCTTGAGTTCTTGTTTGCATACTTCATAGGCAAAATGCATTATACTATTTTTTAAAACCCTTGCATTAAATTTGCACCTTCAAAAGGATCTTTAAATTACTTCCCAGCCAGAAGTTCTCACATAGCAAATGCTGCTTATACCTCTTATTCCAGGTTTGCGTTTCTAGCATGTTTGGATGGTAGTCCCATTAAGTCATAAGATGAGATCATGAATGTAAAAACATGTGGAAAGCTATAAAGCATCTATGACAATACTCTTGGTTAGCTACCAAATATTAATCCCCAATCCCTCTTTCTTATTCACTAGATACTTTTGGTGGCCACATGACCCTGTTCTAGACAATGAATCAGCTGAGGAGTCCTCTAGGGAAGACTGTATTCTCTGATTAAAGAAGGAAGCATGAGAGAACAGTTCTCTCACCATCTTGGCCGCCTTTTGGACACATTATTGAAAAATAAAATGCTTAGAGTTCTGGCAGCCTTTTTGTAACTACGAGGAAAATCACAGAAATAAATCCTAGCACCCTAAGATTGTGGAGCTACTCAACTTCTGAATTTTTTAGAAATAAATTATAGACTGTAAGTAGATTTAAGTCATTGTTATTTTAAATTTCTGCTTTTTAGTATCTGAAAGCATTTCTAATTGATAAAGCACTGTACAGATAAGACATTTGCTCAATGATTAAAAAAACACACATTAGTCAACATTGTATCCCAGTGCTTGGCAATAGAAGATAGATACTCAATAATTTGAACATTAACTGAGGGAATTCATAAACAAATGAATATTATTGTGATTGTTTTCCTGTTCTAGTGTGGCCTACAGAGTGGGTATTTGTCTTTTAAACAGAGAAAGTGTGCTCTGTGAAATTAGGGAAGGAGCATGATAGTGAAATATAGGAAACACCATGGATCAATAACTGCTGACCATCGGGGATTGGTTGAAAAGGGGCTTCTTCAGTTCACACATGTGGCAATCACTATAGTTTGGCTGATACAGTGTCCTTTCCCAACCCTCTTCTTCCATACCTTTCTCTCCAATCGAAGCAGTGAAAGCTAAAATCTCCATTTCCCAGCTGGTCTTGAAATTTGAGGGGCATGTGACAGTGATGGCCAATGAGAGGAAAGTAGGGGGATGCTGGTCCCATCACATCCACACCCTCTTTCTTCAACCTTAGAAAATGGATGTGGTACACTTTGTAGCACAGCAGGCACCTTTCAACCATGAGGTGAAAAGCATTAGGACAAAGCCCACATACTAAGAATGATGGAGTAAAATGGCGAGTCTGGATCCATGGTATCTTCCTTAGGCTGCTACATTATCCTCAGACTTCCCTTAGGTGAGACCAATAACCAACCCTTAGCTGTTTAAATCTGTGATTAGCAATAAACAAATACCTGCTAGACTATTCAAACTAACTGTTCTCTTGCAGTCCAAGAGCTAGCAACACAGTTAAGTGGATTAGAGCACGGACGCTAAGCAGAGCAGAGAGAGGGCAGAACGATGTCAAGGGAGAATTCATTCTCCAGCAATCAGTGGCTGCAGTAGGCATTCCTCATCTATAGCATGTATTAGAGAAGATGGACCCTCCTTACAACTTGGCAATAGAAACAGGAATAGCTATGAAGATAGCTGATAAAATGTCTCCCCTTAAAGTCTTAACTTTGAGAAATTCAAGGAGACTGAAATTCTAAGCATTATAAATGGCCTGATACAAGGAGGTACACCTCAAAGACAGACCAGCAAGAGAGAGATGCAGGAAGATGTAAGATGCAAAAGAACTAGTGGATAACGAAAGGAGAGACTCCATATAGAGCCAAGGAAGAGAGGTTTTCCTTAACTGTTCCTGGCTGGGGAGTTTATCAGTTTATTATCAGAATGGATCATTTGTTCCTCAACAGAGGCTGGGAGATACCCCAAGAAATGTTCCACTAGCTAAAAAACTATAATCAGATTTTTCAGCACAGAAACAGCAAACGGTTAAAATAAGTAGAGACCATGGTAAGTTCTTCATTTTTTTTTGCCATTTCCTTCCTTCCTAAACTACCCCTTTCCTTCATGAATGCCTTCTTAAAACAGATTTAATGAGGTATTGCTATGGTGTCCATCTTATTTGTAGGGAAAAAAAAAAATCTCATGGGACAAGGGACCTTTCAGATTTCCTGGTCTCCATTTCAAGTAGTCTCTGGATGAGATCATGGATTGCTTTCAGGATGATTATTCTTCCATTTGTATACATACATTTACCACAGCCATCCTAACATCCTGTTTAAGTAAGGTTGCCTATTTCATTTTCTAGGACAGAAACAGGATAGGATAGGATGTGTTTGATAGACTCAAGACCCCTCTTCCCTGTAGAAATTGCATATGTCTCGTTATGTACTATTTCTAAGCATAGTGATTTGTATGACTGTATTCCCCAGAAGCTCTCATGGAAATAAGATGCCTACAGTCTGTGGCCTGCTCCCAGAGGTGCTGTCTGCATTCTTTTTATGAATTAAAGTAGCATACAAATTTTAAATCAATAACTCATTCATAAGAAGAAAAACATGTGAAGTGTTAAATCAC